CCCCTCCCCCCACCCCAGCTCTCATTCTGCAGCCTAGAGTTATGTTGGCTCTTTTTTGGATGCAAAGTCATAGTGCTGACTCCTGAGAGACTGCAGCCCACAACAACTGTCACCCCTGATTTTTCATCTGAACTGCTCTATAGCCATGATTGATTGATTTCCTCACCCTATAATAGTGCTGTTGATTGCTTGGAGCCCACATGTAAAACTTGACATTTATTCAATTCAATAAACATTTACAAGCACCACCCAAGGCACTCGTTAAATTCAGCCCATTGTTTTCTATTCTCAAAGCCTCTTTGGTCATCCACTCCATCAACTCATGATAAATGACAACATGAGAGCTGACAATGACAGTGAACCTTAGGGGCTGAATGAAGAATACTTAGAGGGGTCATTTCATCTGATTCTCACAACTACCCTATAAAGTAGAGGCTGAAGGCATTAGGAAATTAAGGCTTACAGAGATCAAGTGATTTGCCCAGGGTCACTCAGCTAATGTCAGAGGCAGAATTTGAACTCAGGTTTCCCTGACTTCACCTCTAGCATTCCTGGATAATTTTTTTTTCTGTTTTCAGGCAATTGGGGTTAAGTGACTTGCCTAGGGTCACACAGCTAGTAAGTATCAAGTGTTTGGTCTGAGGCCAGATTTGAACTCAGGTCCTCCTGACTTCAGGGTGCTCTATCCACTGTGCCACCTAGCTGCCCCTAGCATTCCTGGATTATTCCTCCTACCTTCATATTTCATATAAAGTTAACAAGCATCTTAACCAACCATTTATCCAAGTCGGGAACAAATGATGACCAGGACAGTTCTAGTCGAACATCATCGAAGGAGAGCCGGGGACTCCGGTTCTGTAACTGTTCTGTGACCCCAGGCAGTTTTCTAGTCCCTTCCCCTCACCGGAAGGTTAGTTTCCGCTTCTTTAAAACAAAGGCCATAGATAACCCTCCCTCTCTGGTACCACAGGAATGCTTTAAGGAGGAAGTGAAGTAGATTGGGCAACTTCTTGGCACTCAGTGCCTCCACTGCTGAGGACTCCAGGAATGACAGTGCCTTTTACTGAGGAGGGACATTCCCTCAGCCAGATGAATGCTTAGATAAGCTCTAAGTGCCCATGGTGTCCTACACTGCTCCATTGATGTGATCCTGAGGGTAGCTGATTCATAGCCAGTTCACTAACTGAGATATACTTTAAACTTCATCTAACCTTCATATATATGTATATATATATATATATATATATATGTATATATATATATATAAAATATATGTGTGTGTATATATATATTATATATATGTGTGTGTATATATATGTATATATATATACACACACACAGAGAAAGAGAGAAGCAGAGAGAAAGACAGAGAGACACAGAGTGTGTGTGTGTGTGTGTGTGTGTGTGTGTGTGAGAGAGAGAGAGAGAGAGAGAGAGAGAGAGAGAGAGAGAGAGAGAGAGGGAGGGAGGGGGAAGACAGAGAGGAAGAGAGAGAAAAGAGACAGACAAAGAGAGAGGGAGGGAAAGAAAGAGGGAGGGATGGAAGGAGGGAGAGAGAGGGAGAGAGAGTTGTGGTCCTCTGGAGGTGAGCATGTGGTGTTCAGCTAGCCATGTGCCCCCTCCAGCTGACCATAAGTCCCAAGGAGGGCATTGGCTAAAGGCATCAGTGGTGTGACTGATGAATTATTGGACAATGCTGAGTTTCTGGACCATGTAAGAGATGAGGAACTGCCAGGGAAAGAGTCACCATGTGCATGAACAAACTTAGCAGGTGGAAAAGAGGTGTGGGTTTGGAGTCAGCCTGCCTGGGTTCAAGTTCTGGTTCCCTGCCTTGGCATACCTCGGGCATAGCCTTGGGCAGGCTACTTAAACTCTTTGACCTAAGTTGACTGATGTGCCAAATGTGAGGATTGGTCTGGCTGAGCTCTGAGCTCTCTCTCCTCTAGGAAGCCTATCCTTTCACTGGTGCCATGATTGCTAGGGCCCGGGCTAGTACAGGATTGGGTGTTTAGGGACTTGGGTGGGAGCCCTGGCATTTTTGTGTGTCCGGTAAGACACAAACCGTCCTACCTCTATTTGCTGTCTTGTTAGCCTGAGTGCTTGCATGGGAGCTGAGGGGAGACTTAGACCTGAGTCAAAATCTGATATTCCCATCAAACCTGTTTCTAGATTGGTTCATTAGACTGGAAGTTCCTTGAGGGCAGGAGTTGTCTTTGACCTCTATTGTATCCCCAGGGCTTAGCACAATGCCTGGCATATAGTAGGTGCTTACTAAATGTTGATTGTATAAACCCAGAACTTTGCTTCTGGACCATGGGGGCTTTTCCTGGAATGTTATGGAGCTTTGGGTTAAGCAAAGTGGACTCTTGGGCTAACGGACTCACCACAGTTGGTAACATTGTATTTCTGTATCATGAGAGGTCAAATTTAGACAGACTCTTGGAAGAACAGGGCAGGCACCAGCTTCAAAGAGCACTGGACAATCATGCATTTGGGTGAGTATAAGCAGAGGAGATCTTGATTTTAGGGGCCCATAATGAATGTGAGGGGGGTACCACTGAGAGGACTCAACATGCTGAATTGACTCTTTGGGGGAGTGGGCAGCGCTGCAGTGGATAGAATACTGGGCTTGGAATTGGGAAGACTCGTCTTCCTAAGTTCAAATCTGGCCTCAGACACTTCCTAGCTATGTGACCTTGGGCAAGTCACATAAAGCTGTTTGCCTCAGTTTCTCCCTTTGTAAAATGGGCTGGAGAAGGAAATGGCAAACCACTCCAGTATCTCTGTCAAGAAAGCCCCAAATGGGGTCACGAAGGGTTGGACACGACTAAACAACAAAGAGCACGGGGCATGGAGTCTGTTAGAATCCTCAGGTCTTGTCACATAAACTGTTTTCCTAAACTTCTCACCCTGTACTGGTGCAGTTGGATTTTACATTTCTCCTATCAAATCAGCATCGTCTGTTCAGGGGAAGATGTCTGTACTATGAAGATAAACTAGGTACTTGTCAATAGACATGGGTTTTCTGTCCATCCATCCTCCCAGACCCCCAGGATACAATGGGACACCAACGAGTTCTTTGGACGCTGCTCATCAGTGCTCAGAAGGGTCCAGAGATCTGGTCCATGGCTATGTCTGAGACAGAGCCTGGTGCAGTTACTGAGGGACAGAGAAAGCTTCCAGGAATATTTGTGACTAGACTTTGAGGGATTAATTATAACATCTTTGTCTGGAAGGGGATGTGAGTCAGTAGCAACATTCTAAGAATTCTGAATGAATGGGAATTGAGTGTGACCAGTAACTTCTGAGGCCCTGGAGGGAGGTAAACTCCTGCTTGGATGGTGGGAGTGTGGAGAGTGTACTGGAGCTTATAAGAGGTTCCTGGGGAGAGATTCTGGTGTCCTCCCGTGGGCCACCTTGGGCTTTTAGGGAGAAATGAGGAGAAAGCCCTGGAGGATGCAGAGCAGTAAGTCCCAAGAGTCTCTTATGAGTAAAGAGAAAGTTTCTCCCAGGGAGAAACCACTGGACACAGGCCCTGCACATGAGTGTAAGGTCAGTGTGATCTATGGCACCATCTTTTGGGGCTAGGAGATCCTTTTGGATACTGATTCCATTCTCTGCATTAGCTGGCCCTCCTCATTATGTGTCAGCTGCAGAGCTGGCTGGGCAGGGGTGAATCAGAAGCTGGCATCTGTCCCTCAGGGACAAGCTTGTCCAAAAGCCCATCTGCCAGGGGAAAGGTCTGCCCCCAGCAACACGACCCTCAGCAGCAGTAGGGGCTTGCCCTGGCTGTTCTCTCTGCATGTTGGGAAGCTCTCCCATCCCTCCTTACTGCCACCACCACCTTAGAATCCCTAGCTTCCTTCAAAACTCAGCTCAAGCATCACATCCTGTCCACTCAGACGCTAGTGCCTCCTCAACCTAGGGAACCACTCACAGCATAAAACCGCCAGCATTTAGGAGATATGTCTATATGTCCATATGCCTCCCTCATTAGACTGTAAGTTCTTTGAGGGCAGGGAATGCTTCCTTTCTGCCTTTGTTTTCCCAGAGCCTAGCGGTGCCTGGCACACAGTAGGTGCTTATATTTGGTGATTGGTTGACAGAGTACAGGCTACAAAAAGGGGATGAAAAATACTGTAGTAGAAATCGTGATTCCCCACAACTCAAACCTTTCACCACCTAGGATAACAGCCTTCTGCCCTCTACTTCAAAAGCTCCACTCCCTAGGCTGTGGCCTGGGCTCTGGCAGCACGCATTCCAGATTCCTTCATCCTCCTGTGCCTTTGGGCAGGAGTTCTGGCTGCCGGGATGGAGATTTCCAGAGCAGAGAAAATCCCTTTTGGTCTTCAGACTCTCCTTCTTAAGGCAACATATCCAGACGGATTTCCATCCACAGGGATTCAGGTGATGGAAATACTCAGTCTACATATGACCCCCACTTGCTGTCCATCCTGCCGCCCAATGAGGGCTGCCACGTTCACAAGATGGGATTATTATTTCCCTTTTCTCCCATTTGTAATTTGTTTGTATGTGGTTGATTGCCTGTTGTCTCCACCGTCAGACTTTGAGCTCCTGGAGAACCACGACTGTCTTTGGCTTGTTGACTTGGCTAGGGCTAAAGATGATTAGGGGTCTAGTTTTAAGGGGATATTTAGAATTTCAGCATTCTAAGGCCCCCTGTTTTCCACACACTCTGAAATAAATGGACCAGGAGCATGACTCTAGACACAGATGTGTTCACCTGCATAGAAGAGGAAGCACCAAAACCCCAGACTGGACGGAACTACCAAGGTCGCCTAGCCCAGCCCAGGCTCAGACCAGAAACATCCCATGAACTGGTCACCGTCCTGTGATTGGAGGCTTCCAATGACAGGGAACTGACTACTTTTAGGACATCAAGTCAAATGCTGCAGGAACCCCAAATCCAGAAGAAAGGAAGGAAGACACTTCCAACTTTGAACCTACTGTAGATAGAAGGGCAATGGAAGGTCTCCGACTTAAGAAAGGATTGTGCATTTAAATTTATTTCAAATCAATGCTCAGCCAAAATACTACATGGATCTGTGTACATTTACTTGTCTTTTTAAAAAAAATTGTTTCCATGAAATGATTTTTTTTGGGTAATCACCTAATTTTTAATACAACATTTATATACAAAACCCTATTTCAAACAACTTCCTGCACAAGAGAAAATAAAACATCCGTTTGTACAATTTCAGCAAATAACAAAAGTATTGGAGCCCTTGGTGTTAGGGACAGAGACTGCCTGCCGCTCACACAAACATCAGGGAATTGGGAAGAGTGATTACATTCATTATTCTCTTGGAGAGGGTGTGGCCTTTGGAAATCTCAGACCATCCGGCTTTGGTGTATGTGGAGAAGACTCCTGTCACTGAGAACTGTGTGTGTGTGTGTGTATGGATGTTTAATAAGCCTTGTAAATGATTGTTGTCCAATAGTGAAATTCCTGTAAGTAAAGATAGAAGAGCGTGTTACCAAAATATAAGCCCTTTATTAATAAAAATCTTTGGTAGGAACAATCTTTTAAATGCCTTGCAGAGATATTTGGTTAACATAATAAACTCCATCCACCTCTGGTACATTTTAAGCCAACTGCAGAAAAAAAATCAATCTCACCCCATAATTTATTTTTGAAACCAATAAATACCATGAAGCTGAGACTGTCTGGGTGAGTTGGTACAACTTCTATTTAAAACCTGAAATAGCCTCTAAAAATACCCCTCAGGATGCCTCTCTTCTAGTAGTCCTTTATCAATGTGGTTTCATCCAAACCAAAGGATTGGGGGTGGGTGGATAGGAGAAGGAGAGGGAGAGGATAGATTGGGGTTGGCCACTGGGATGTGTGTGGGGGTGGTCTGGAGGGCCCTCCCCCCATGGGAGGCCACAGTCAGCTCCTCCCAGCATGCACTGCATCTGGGACCCAGAAGGCCAGACCCAATTCCCACTCCCTAGGCTGGTTGGGGCAGGGCTTTCTCGGATGGTAGCTCAGAAGGCCCCAATATGAAGAACAGGAACACGTATGGGTAGAAGTGGATTCCCCTCCCGTGCTCCAGTAGCTTCTTCTGAAAACCCACCTCCAAACCTAGTTTGTGATTCAGCAGCTCCCTCTATTGCTAGGAGCTCAGGCCTTGCATCTAGGGAAACCACTTTGTCTACACGTTAAGGCATCAAAAAAGTTCAAAAGGTTTTTTTCCTCTGGTGGGTGACCCTTACTCATCTTTCAGTAGAAGACACTACTGAGTCCTCCGAGAACTGTTTGTAGTATCTGCACCAACCCTATGGGCATCACCATGAACTTGTGTTTTTTTTTTGATTAACCTTGGAGAGAGAGAGAGAGAAAGAGAGATTCCCTGCATTACAGTTTGTGCAAAAAAAAAAAAAGAAAAAGGAAGTGTCCCATCAGGACGTGGTCCTCTGTTTCTGCAAGAAGAGAATTTTTGCCCAGCACAGGCACCACCAGGCTTCAGCTCACTCTGGACCCTGCGCCAGGTTGTTCATGAGTCAGACTGCATTGCAGGCAGAGCAGCTCTGTCTAGCATGCCCCAGGGCTCTGGAAGTCTCCCACTAAATTGCCACATGGTAGGAGCATCTGGATGCTGTGCTGCCTCGCTGGGTCCTGGTGAATGGCGGGCTGTGATTATTGCAGTTGTCACCCTGGAGGTTATCTTTCTCCTTTATGGTCTCTAGCATCTGCTGCTTGCCTTGCTCCTCCTTCATGAAGAGTTCCACCAGGAGGACCTTCTCCTTGTGAATCTGCTGGCTGATATCTTTGGGAATGTCGGGGATGATCCAGTCTACGAAGTCACTCATGAACATGACCAGGTTCTGGGGAGAAGAGAGGAAGAAGAATGGAAGGGAAATCACTATCATAAGACCGTAGCCTTATTTCTAGCCGAGTCTGGTAACCCATATGCTGTGACTCTTTGCTGGGCTCCTGAGTGTTCCCTTGGCCCCTCCACTGGGGGGCCATTGAAGAGGATCAATAAAGTAGCAGAAAGACATCTATTCAGGAGGATTTCAAAAGAGAACACAACTTGTGCTTGGGACTCCATGGCTTCACTCTTAAACTTCCCAAGGGATGGAGGTCTTAGGGGAGGGGGGAGGGAGAAGGGAGCTTACCTTTCCTTATTTTCCCTAATAGTAGTCATCATGAGGGTTATCCAACCCAAAGTTCTTCTGCACAAGTAATTCATGTTCCTCCCCTCACAGTGCCCCCATTTAATGGCACCTTTTTCTGAGGATTCAGAAGGTACTTCAGGATTTTGTAGGAATCATCATTCTGACTCTTTGAGATGGAAGAGACCTCAGATGCCATTTTGGCTCCAACATCCTCAGCAGGTGGCTGTCCAACCCCCTCCTGGAACCCTTTTGGGGGGAAGTCCCCTCAATGCTGAGACTGCTCCCAAGCCACAGCTCCAAGCTCTGCCTTTAAAGCCAAGCAGAACAAGCTGCCCCCTCTTCCCCTGCACTGTCCTCCAAACACTTCAAGATGGCGCCTGAGGGTCTCCAAGGATCACACATCTAGACCTGGGAGGAGCCCTGTAGGCCACCTAGTCATAGAACCATAGGATCCTGTGTTTAGGGACCGTCCCATCCAACCCCCTCATTTTGCAGGCAGAAGAGTGAGGCCCAGAAAGGTGAAGTCACTCGGGGGCAGGTGGTAGAACTGAGGCCTGGGAACTCCAGGTTTGGGTCTCCAGTGCTATCCATAGTTTCTTCAGCTGATCTTATATATCACAGTACCACTGGTCAATACCATGGAGAAGTGGACAGGTAATGACCCAACAGGCAAACGTGCTCTTTGGGCCAAAGTCCTTTGGCTCCGTGCCAGATGGATTAATTCTGTCAATGGGCATTTGCCAAGCACCTGGGATGGCCTGCATGGCTACAGTCATCAGATCAGTCTTCTTGCTAAGGTGACCTGAAACCTCTGGTCTCATGGTGAAACCCAGGCTGTGCCTACTTTGCCCATGAGTCAGAGCACATGGGCAAGGAAGGTCAGCAGCTTTCTGCTGATTCCACAGGGTGGCCCACCTTTCTTTGGAATCACCACCCCTGGGAGCTGGCACTGATGATGGGCAAAAGCCAGAAGCTTCTCTCTTGGCTCCCGTAACCCACAGCCCCAGGCTTCCACATGGTTCAGAAAGGCCCAGCCTGGGGCCTGGGGCTGGGCTCTCTGATCCTAAGGTCACCCCGGTCATGACTCTGGAGCTCTTTGCCTATGGTCAGGCCCATGGTATGGGTGCTGCTTTCTGCCGGAGAGCTCTTTCCAGCCTCATGTACAGAGAGACAGGTGGTTTCCCCTGTACCTTTCAATATCCTGCTGGAGAAAGAAATAAATGGCAAGAAGCTTATACAGACTGCTGTCTGGTGTGGTTCTGTCATTTCAATTGCGTCTGACTCTCCAGGCCCCTATTTGGGGTTTTCTTGGCAAAGATACTGGAGACATCTGCCATTTCCTTCTCCAGATCATTTTACAGAGGAGGAAATTGAGGCAAACAGGGTTAAGGGACTTGCCCGGGGTCACACAGCTAGTAAGTGTTTGAGGCTAGATTTGAACTCAGGAAGATGAGTCTTCCTGACTCAGGCCTGGCACTGTATGTGCTATGGCACCACCTAGCTGCCCAAGACTGCTCTCTAAGAAACATCAGTAGGACAGCTGGGGTTCAGGTCCTCAGTGGGGATAGGTTCCTTTAAGGAATTCTTGTGACCAAGGCCCAGATCTTTGTCTGTGCAGCTTTTATGGACCTGATATCTTAACCTCCCCCAACTAATGCCCAAGGAAATAAAGAGGTGTCTAAAAAATTAATTTAAAATTTTCACCAGCACATTTTGTTTGACATCCCTTTCATTTCCACCTGCACTCCTCCCTGGAGGAGTCTGACAGGATATGCCATGCTCCACATCCACAGTCCCTAACTTCTGCAAAGGGAGGCAAGGACATTTCCTCAGGGTTGTCTTTGGGGAGTTTCTCCTGGGAAAGTGTTCTGAGGCCACACCCACTCACTGGTCTCTCCCCTGGTGATCTCACCTTTGCCGATGCTCCATTGAAGCTCCTCCCACCCTGAGCTCCCAGGGTTCTTTCTGTCTCCACAAATCTCCCCCTCTTCTCCTTCTATTTAACTACTAGCATCCCCTCAGGGCTCTATTTTTGGTCATTTGTTGGCCTCCTTCCCTGGATGAGCTCATTAGCTAACGTAGTTTCAACTACCACCCGGATAGAGAATGTTGGACTTACTGTCAAGTCCTGACCTCTTTCTATTCTTGAATAAATGAATGAAAAGGAATTTGTTAGGGACTTACTATGTGCCAAGCACTGTGCTAAGCTCTGGGGACACAGATCCAAAAGTAAGACCTCAACGAGTGTACATTCTAAAAGGGGCGGACATCACCTTCATTGATTCTCCAGAAAGCTTCAGGACATTGCACCAAATGAGCTCTGAAGTCCCTTCCAGCTCGGAAATCCATGGATGGCCTTCAAATGATATCTGCTTGGGTGTCTAATGGACACTTGCCCCAAACTGACCCCCAAAGTCCCTCAATCCTAATTTCTTCATTGATACCATATCTGTCCCCGCATTACCACATCCTGGACTCTCCCCTTCCCCCCTCAGAGTCTTGTGCCGGCCTCCTTGGTGGGATCCATGCTGTGCCTGGCCATCACTGAATTTTAGAATTCCACCAGTACTTAGCAGCCAACTAGTCTAACCCATATCCAAAAAAATCAATCTCTACTACCACACATCCAATAAGTGGGCATCTTGCTTCTGCCTGAAGACCTCCAAGGAAGGGGAAGGAACCTACCACTTCCTAACTGTGGCCGTGCTATTTATAGCAAAGAGACCAAGATTGCTCAAATACCCTCATCATCAGGTCACTCTGCTCCTCAAGAACACTCAGTGATTCCCTAATGCATCCAGTCCCCAGCCTGCGGAATCTTCTCATGGCTGCATGTTCTTATTGTGCCAACCTTGTTTATCAGGTGGTCACTGTGTGCCAGGCACTGTGCCCAATGCTGAAGGTACAATGCAAGACAAAAACAGTCCCTGTTCTCAAGGAGGGAGATAAGGAGGGAGATAACAATAGACATCTAAGATGTATCCAAGGACGGAAGACGATGAGGAGGAGAAGGCACCACCAGTGAGAGGGACAGGCAAAGGGCTTCTGCAGAAAGTGGGACAGGATGGAAAACGGGAGGTGGAGATGACGAGAGAGACGGCCAGTGAAAAGGCCAAGACGGGATGGAACGCCAGGTGTGTGTGAGACACAGCAAGGAGGCCAGGGGAGCTGGATTATAGAATGTGTGTGTTGGGGATGACGGGGCAGGGGATGTGTGAGAAGACTGGAAGGGCAGGAAGGGCTTTAAACGTCAAACAAAGCATTTTAGCTTTGACCCTGGAAGCAAGAAGGAGCCATTGGAGTTTAGTGGGGTCGGGCAGGGTAGAGTTAGGGTCAGTCCTGGGCTTAGGGAAATTCCTTTGGCAGCTGAGTGCAGCATGGATTGGAGCGGGAGACACTTTAGACAACTGGTAGGTAATTTTAATAGTCCAAGCAAGAGGTGGACGGGAGCGTGACCTGGGGAGGGGAGTGTCTGTGTAGAGAAGAGAGAGGGAGATACAGACGGGAGACGTTGTGAACTTTGCAATGACAAGATTTGGCAACAGATTAGATCTAGGGGGTGAGCTGAGCTCGGCGTCCGGGGCGGGGTGGGGAGGGAGGCGGAGACAGATCGAAACCTTCCCAAGGACCCTTGATCCCGCGATTGCGGGGCTCTTGTTTCTAGGCTCCACATGAGGTGTCTGGGAAACTTCTCCTCTTCCCGATCCAGAAAAACCCGAGGCCCACGCTACCTGGAAGACGATCACAAAGGCCAGTCGGGCAGCCAGGACCGCCCAGAAGTCCTTGGATATCTCATACTTGTTTTCCGACCAAGGGGGCTCTCGGTAATCTTTGTACCTGTAGAAGAAACGAGAAGGACAGACAAGAATTTAAACAGGACCTTGGGTTTCTTGTTGTATTCATCCATTCATCAGGTATTTATTAAGCACCTGCTTGTGCCAGGACATCTTTTAAGACTACAAATTGGCCCATCTGCACTGATAGAGGGACTGCCCTCGTCGGGAGATCCCTATGCTGGATGAAATTATAGCATCAGTTAAAACAAAGTGCCGGGGGGGGGTACCAAGATAAAAACCAGGGTTCCTGCCCTCAAGGAGTTTATGTTCTGTTGGGCAAGACAACACTTTCACATGTGAGCCATCCAAAGGAGAGGAAAGGTCATTGGAGGGACAGCAATCAGGGGGTGGGCATCAGCAAAGACCTGGAGGAGGCGGAGGATGGTGGGAAGGGACCTAAGCCTGGAAGGGGCTGGGGATGTACAAGCAAAGTAACCCAAGCGTGACAATCAAAGCTCTACCTTGTAAACAAGTCCTACAACTGACCTGTAGCCCATCACCCTAACATCACCCAAGTGGTGCCTGGCAGCATAGGAGGTGCTGAATAAGGGGCTGTGGACTGGCTGACCCCTGAAGGTAGTGTTGGCACTGGACTGAGCTGCATGGACGAGGCCTTATAGGTCACCTCTCTGCCCCCTTCACCTTACAGATGGGGAAACTGAGGTCCAGAGACAAGAAGGGAACTGCACAAGGCCACACTGTTCTTAGCGTCAGAGTTAGAACCAGAAAGCCAGTTCAGGGCTCTTCCTCCTACTCCTACCTCAGTTTCCCAGAGTGTCAGGCTCATGAGAATATGTATGCAAAGCCATTAGGGCAGGTTTCAAGGAAGGGAAGAGGGGTAAACTTTCCCTGGGAGTCCTCTTGGCAAGGGCAGAACCACCCAAGAACCAGCTCATCTGGTTGAGCAAAGGCTGAGAGTCATGGGCCACCAGGGACATGCTTTCTCCCTGCCCGGGGAATCCCACAGCAGCCCTGGGAATGTGAAGGACCTGTCCCACCGCCACGCGTGGTTGGCATAGACCAGTGCAGACCAGGGAGAAGGCTATCCTGGCCTAGGACAGCAGGCTCCAGAGAAAGAGAAGCAAAGTCAGCGAGGGGGGACAGGCAGGCAGGGGCTTGTACCCCATAAGGCCCCATTTTTTCCTCCCCAAAAGAGAAAGACCAGCCCTCACTTGCTTTAATTGGGTGCCATGAAGATTGGTGGCAAAATACTCCTGGGGCCACTAAGAGGGTGATGTGGGTGTGATTTGGTCCTCAGTAGGGAGGGATGAGCATACTGGCTTAATGGTATCTGGAAAGCAAAGCAGGGCTCTGAAGGGGAGGAGTCCCAGTGTGGGGTCCCAATACTAACAGGTAGATAAAAGGAAAGGCAAGTTCTTACTCAGTCCCTGCCCTCAAGGAAGTCACATTCTAATGGGGGTGACATTATACATGTGGTGTCCATCAGGGGTGGGGTCCTTCTAGCTTGAGTCCAAGTTTTGCGGAACAAATCCTTTTATTGAGGGGATTTGTTCTATGAAGTTTGGATTCAGTCAAAGGGCTGAGCTTGAGGATTTGGAAGGCCACACAGGGGGCCTTGAAGCTGCAGATTCCCCACCCCTGGTGCCGACAGAAGGGAGTAAGTGAGGTGTCACGAGATGTTAGAGTCACACCTCAAACATTTTCATGATGGGAAGAAGAGGGTCCTTCCAGGGAGGAAGGCCACCTCCCCAGACTTCAGAGCCCTGGGGCAAAGCCCAGTTTGCCCCCTGCTAGTTAACTGCTTGGCTATATTTTGTCCTGACTACTCTCTTGGCCCATCCTCTCTGGCCACTGCTGCCCACCTCCACCTGTCCAGCTGCTGGCTTCCCCTAAGAGCCTGAGGGCAGAGATGGCAACACTGGGGATGAGGAGCTCTGCCTCCATCAGCTGGGATCACAAGAGAAGGGGAGGCACGATGCTCCCAACCCCAAGCTAGGCCAGCACCCCTCCTGCATGCACGTGGCTCATTTTCCTCTTTTCTCTCTTTTGAAGGGGGCCACTATAAATCCATACCGGCAAATGTGCACTGAGTAGCCCAGCTCCATGGGGTCATTGGGAGCCGTTCCGGCTTGGAAGTCACTGACGTTGAAATAGGAGAGCGTGTGATTCAAGAAGCCGTGCATGGAGCCGTTGGAACTGTACATGTAGTGGTACACGAGTCGGGGGATGAAGTCTGACGTGAAGGAGATGACGAATGCCTGCGAGGCCACAGAACAGAGAGTCAGAGGCATAAGGATGGCTTGGGCCTTCAGCACATGGGGAATCCTCACCTGATTCCAATACAAGGAAGGAAGGGAGGTCTTAGACTTTCCCTGAGCAAACCTGCCTTGCTCCCATTTTACTGCATCCTGAATGAAGTGAGACCCTTGGCCAGGCAGCTCTGAGCAAGCGCTGGCCGGAGGAGGAGGGGGAAGAGGATGAGAAGGAGTGGGGGAAGGGGAGGAGGAGGGGGAAGAGGATGAGAAGAAGTGGGGGAAGGGGAGGAGGAGGGGGAAGGGGAGGTCACCTCCTGGAGATGCCCTCTCTGCACCCCCGGCATCTTTCAGCCCAATGTTCCAGGTCCCTCAGTGCCACAATACAAGACCTCATTGTTCAGCCCTATTCCCGAGCAGGGTTCCATGTTCTGGGCCTTCTCCCCCCATCCCCTCATCCCCTGCCCCAGACTTCTCAGTCCTGTATCCCACCCCTTCAGAACTCTGGTGAACCAGAAAAATCCAGTCCAACTGGGCTGATAACGGCTTCATGTGCATGGTCAGTGTCCTTGCTCTTGGGGAAATGTTAGCTGGGAAAAGGCCTGTGAGAGAGAATGAGGCTCTCACTGCAACAAGGAGGTTGATTCTTGTCTCCCCATAGGGCAGCCCTGGTCTGGAGGTGGCAGCCACAGCCAGCTCTTCCATCTCCAGAAATGCCTGGAGGAGCCCAAGGGAGGGCACCCTGCCAGTCTATTCCTGATAAGATTACTCAGGAGATATTGTTGGGACAATGGTTGGGTGCCTCCCTCAGCTCCAGGCACAACAGGTGTTTCTATCACAGATTGGGTAAGCCTGCACTGACTGCTTGCCCCAAGGACAGGCTTTGGCTGCTGGAGAAACAGCCTCTAGCCTTCTTGGACAAAAGTCCATTGGCCTCTAATTGGGAGCACGGGGCTCAAAAGACATTTCCCAGCTGCCAGACTTCCTCCTGCCCAGGGAATTGGTCAAGGAGACTGCATTTGAAGTTACTGCTTGGCCCACCACATACATGCTCAATGCAGGTCTTTTCTTTCCAACGCAATCTGGTCTGGGGCCACCGTCTTAAGATTACTTTAACCTAAGTAAAGCAACCATAAACCTTCCTCCAACAGAGTATAGGGAGATAGGAGGAGGCTGCCAATGCTGCCTGGTGGGAGGGGGAAGGGGGAAATCCAACCAGGAATGTAGGAAGGAGGGGAGGAAGGAAAGGGAGCCATGGGTGCAAAATCCCCAAAGAGACCAGGAAACTGGCACACGGGGAGGAGCCTCCATGGGAAAGAGGGCTCCATGGGCTTGCAGCCATTGGCAGAGGGACTTGGTCAGGGGCATGAGAAACACATGTGGAGCTTTGGAAAAATGAGGGCCACCAAAAAAGGGGCTGAATCATGGCATCAAGGGCACTGAGGGACCTTGGGGGCCATCTGCTCCCACATCCTCGATTTATCAAGGAGGAAAGTGCAGGCCAGAGAAGTTGAGTGATTTCCTCAATGTCACAAATATCCACCTCAGAGGGAGGATCTAAAGCCTGGTCTGGCGAGCCCAGAACCCCAGTTCTTCTAACCATGGTACCTGGCCTCAATGGAGCTGGGGAGTCCAGGCAGTGTGAGGGGACTCAACTCTATCACTGATGACCCAGGGAACTTGGGTCAGTCTCTTTCCTTCTCTGGGCCTCAGTTTCCTTATCTGTCACAGGAAGGGATGACTATCTGACCTCTGAAGTCTTTTTTCAGCTTTTCTTTTAGGCAATTGGGGTTAAGTGACTTGCCCAGGGTCACACAGCTAGTAAGTGTCAAGTGTTTGGTCTGAGGCCGGATTTGAACCCAGGTCCTCCTGACCTCAGGCCCAGTGCTCTATCCACTGAGCCACCTAGCTGCCCCCAGTCTTTTTAGTTTTGAATCCTATGGACTTTTCCTGAGGTTGTGAAAGACGTAGGATGAATTTGTGTGTGTGTTTTTAAACCCAACCTAGACAAGCCCCTGTCAACATAAGGAGACAGCTAGGGGGAGTCAGGAAGACCTGAGTTTCAATCCTGCCTTAGATGTTCACTGGCTATGTGACCCTGGGCAAGTCACTTACCCTAAGTCATCTGTAAAATGAGGGGCCTGGATGCAAGGGTCTCTAAGGTCCCTCCAACTTAGATCTAGGATCTTAAGAGATGAACTATCTGGAAGGGAAACAATTTCTTTATCCAGGTTCAACTTTCTGAAGACCAGTGACCTCATCTCTTCCAATTAGTCAAATGGCTGTTCAGGGGATGAAACAGTAGGGGAGGGGAGGGAAGGACCCAGAACCTGAAGGGCCCTGGATGCCCCCATTCCTCATGCACCCAGCCCCCTGGCCAGTCCCTCACCAATGCCCTTGCTTCTCTGGGCAATCCAATTGTACTTACATTGATGATAACAGCCAGCTTTCCAATGCCTCTGAGAATATTGTACCAGATGCCTGGGGGAAGGAAAAAAAAAACCCAAACGAGGTTAGAGTGAGGGCCTCTTTCTTTGAGTTCATCAAGGTGCCCAAAGGTGGTCATTCAGGACCAGCTGGGGACAAGAGCCCTTGGAATCTGTGAAGAGCCTTATTGGAAAAGAAGCCCCATTGGATTCTCTGCAGTGGGGTGGGGTTGGAGGGGTCATAGCCAGGACTAGAATAAAGACAGGGTGCCAAGGAGAAGGCCTTAAGGAACCTGCTTTAATGCACAGAAGAGACGTGGTCATTAGCTTATCTGGAGTTTAGAAGGAAGCGGTTGCTTCTAAAGGACTGGACAGGGGTTGAAGAGCTTCCCAGCAGCTTATTCCCTATTAAGAGCTTTGGACTATCTTCCCTTGTTTACACTGATTATTTGCTTAGAAAAGGCTCCCAACATAAATACTTCCCAGCTCAGCTTCCGTTCAGGCCTGGTCCAAAGGGTCTCGAATTCCCCAGGAGTGGTGGCCAAATCCATGCACCATGGGCCACTCTTCTTGGGCAGCCAACTCAGGCCCAGAACAATGTCTGGCAAGAGGGGAATCTTGCTAGGAATGAGCTCAGAATGGAATTCCCAATGGGCCCCCCAAGCCTGCCAGGGTCTTGGGTCATATGTCAAGGTAGAGGAGGCTTTGTGGAAACATGACTGGCGTTCCCCGAGTAAACCATTCCCACCCCTGCCACTAGCCAGTTTACATTAGGAGGAGGTGCCTGGGAGGGCAGGCTTCTGCCGGATTGCATGTGTAAACACAGGAGGAATAATTCAGACTTGAAGTATACACAGCACTTATTCATCCTCTCATTACCCCAGAGAAGAAGGGCCTCAGCAGACGCCAGGGAAGCAGCCCAGCTGCTTCCGTTCACAGTATGGGGTCAACACTTCCCTCTCTCCCTCAGGCCATGAGTGGGTCCATACGCACAGCACAGTGTTGGCCAGTGGTGGCCCAATCTTGGAAGGCTGAGCCTCCCGGATGAGAGGGCCAGAGCTCTGCTGTCCTCTCCTGGGCAGACCCCTTGGGGAGTCAGCTGTGGGCACCCAGAGAAGGGAGGTCAGGATGGGGAAGGAGCTGGAGAGCAGACCATCGAGACCTGGAGGGAGGGACTGAACTAAGCTTGTTTATTCCAGAGAAGACAAGACAAGAGGTGTCGAAGAATTGTCTCCTGAAAGAGCCGTCCTCACCTGTAATCTGAATTACTGCAAAAGCTTGTGGCTGGTCTCCTCAGCTCCAGCCCAGCCAAGTAGATGCCCCTAAGTACAGATGTTACCACGGCACTCCCCTGCCTCCAATGGCTCTCTGGTGACTCCTCTGTGGGGCATTTTGGACCCTTCTCAAACTGTCCTCAGCTTTTTTTTCCCCCCAACCTGTTTATGATGCATGACTCCCTTTCACATCCTTTGTAGTTAAGCCAAGCTGGCTGCCTTGCTGCTGCTCAGACATGGTGCCCCATTTGCTGCGTTTGTTTCTTTGTCCGGACTGTCCTCCGTGCCTGGTATATCTCTTTCCTCACCTCTACCTCTCAGAACACCTCTCTTCTTTACAGAAGGCCTCTCTGGGCCCTCAGAAGCTGCTGCCACTGCTCTGTCCCCACCAAAATGCCCCCAGTGCCCCTGCATCTCTTTGGTACAAACCTCTAAGGTGGGCATATGCCTGTATCATCTTCCTTGGCAGAGAGTCAGCTCTCTGAAGGCAGGCTGATTGCCTGACTTCTTCCTTTGTATCTTCAGTACCCAGTCAAGTGCCTGGCACACAGTAGGCACTCAATACAGACTTGGTGATCAGCTGATTATTCTGCTTGGCCTCCCCAAAGAAGCCAACTTGGGCTTGATGTGAGGAAAAGCTGTCATGGTGTGGGCTGGGCTAGCTGAGGGGTGATGAGCTCCCCAGCACTGGAGGTCATAAAGCACAGGCTGGGTGGCTACTTGCAGGGATGCTAGAAGGGATTACTGTTCATGGATGGGCAGGATTCAAGGCCTCTGAGGTCCCTCCTACCTCTGGGAGTTGTGCTCCTGCACCATCGGTCAGGGCCTGAATGAACTTGGCTGGGTCATTTTCGGTCTTAGGATCCCAGCCCCAGTAGAGGCTCGCACACAGGAAATGCCTAATAAATGTCTGAATTCAATAACCATGCATTCAAGGCCTGCTATGTCCTTATTATTGTTCAGCTGTGTTTAGGGGTACAACAGAGTAGCTGACACCTTCTCTGGGGGGTCACAGGATATGCTGAGCAGACATGCCTCACACATGTGGGCTACAGCTGAAGGACACATCCAGGTGTGGGCTGGATGGGGCTCACAGCGTGAGAAGCCAGAAGAGGAAGAGGGCAGTGGGACAGGAGTGACAGGAAGAAGGTTCAGTGATGCTTTGGGGCTCATTCAAGGTGAGGCAGAAGTGGCCAGGAGGGGAAACAGAAGTAGAGACATGGAGGAATGACTTAGCCTAAGAGGAAGAGAGGAACTCTTTCAGGAAGCACTAGGAGGAAATCCCAGGCTCTCTGCTTGGAGCCTTCTGGTGATGGTAGGCTCACTACCTCCTAGGCAGTTCATTCCCCTCAAGGACAGCTGTCATGACTTTGCTTTGTCTTGAACCCAAATCTGCTTCTTGGTCACTTGTACCTGCTGCTCCAGGTTCTGCCCTGGGCCCCAACAGATCAAATTGACTCCTAATTTGACAGGCATTCACCATCACTGTGAATCACTGTGTCTCAAACATCTCCTTCTTTAGGTTAACTATAGGTTCCTCCAACCATTCCTGTAGGGCATGAATTGAAGGCCCTTCCTTCTCGGACCTGATCACCAGTCTCTGGATGCTTGCCAGGTTAGCTTTGCCCTTGCCTGTCAGGAGAGGGAAGTGGAGTGGAGACAGAGCCCAGAATACCAGGATGAACAACCAGGACTCCTCGAGCTTGGTGGTCAGGGCCGCAGCCCTTGAGCTGGACTCAGAGCAGCTGATGCTGCTTAAAACTGCCTGGATAATCTGGGCTGCCTCTGTTTTCTCCACTGTAAAAACTTGAACCTCACAACAACCCTGCTATTAGTATCGCCATTTTCTAGATGAGGAAACTGAGGCTAAGTGGGGTAAGGTGACTTGTCAGGGGTCCCACAGCCAATAAGAATCTGAGGCACCTCAGATCTAGCCCTCTGTCTAAAACATTTCCAAGTGGGCAGAGGGCTAGGGCTGGCCCAGGAGCTCTCTTCTAGCTCTGGCTCTGTGAACCCTGGGTAGGACTGGGTTCTAGCAGCACTTTTGGGTTTCCCCTGGGAACACATTGGGAGGAGCACTGATTGTTATCACCACAGGCAATTGAGTCCCAGCCCCAGCCTCATGGTGTAGGGAAGAGGCAGGGGTGGCCCCAGGCAAGGGGAACTTGCCTCTCCTCCTACAGATAACTTGGGGTCTCCCACTCCCCTCCCTCCACCCTCAGTTGAGGTTGCTTCATCTGAGGTGCCTCCACACCAACCCAAGTGATCAGGCTAGCCAAGCTTCTCAAAGCCTCCCCTTCTAGGGCAGAGGGACTAGCCCCAATCTCATAAGGATCCCCTAGGGTCCCAGGAGGGTGCACAGGCTTTGGCACATCACCCAAAGCTGCTTGGGCAACAGCCGCCCAGAGCTGGAGCCAGCGCCCAACATGAAAGAGGCCTCCTTCTTGTAGCCAGGCCCCCGAACTCCCTTCTCCTGCCTGGGGCTGGCTGCTCGAGGCCTGACCATGGATCACAGGCACAAGACAAAAGGCTCTCTTCTCAGGAACGGCCACCATGGAGTCCACAAACAAGCTCCGGAAAGAAGAGGCAGATGAGGAGTTCTGCAGGCCAGACAGGAACCAGCTAAAGGCCAGCTAATCTGCAGGAGTCAGCCAAGTGAGCCAGAGTTCGAAGGAACCTAACCCAAGGGCTAGCCCCAGCTGGAGGGGAGCACAGAGGCCAACCCTCTCATCATGCAGGTGAAGAAATGGCATCTCAGGCAAGTGAAGCCATTTGGCCAAGGTCACTCAGGTGGAGAGCAGAGTGCTAGAGCTACGACTGGGACACAGCTCCTGAGGCTCCTTAGGCAGGGACAGCTGGAATTGCTCCAGGGCTTTGGGGGCATGGGGGTGAGGTGGAGGGTGGTATCACTCCTCAGAAAAGAGGATAAAAAGCCACAACCAGAAATGAGACCAAAGAAGCATCTGCCCCAGAGAGAGAAAGGGATGGAGCACAGAGCCAGGGAAGCAGGCTGCTGCTCTCCGTCTGCTTGGCCCCTGGAGGCAGTTGCTGGAGTGCGGACTTGGGCTCAATGTAGCCCCCCCAAGTGGACACTATCTTGATTTCTATTTTGTCTAATCACATCCCTTTGTGCCCAGTGTACCCCACCTACCAGACTCCTCCAGGAGAAAGTAAGCTCATGGAGGGCAGGGATGTTGTGACTTTCTGCACTGACAGCAGCCACTCAGTGCTATGGAAATTTTTACAAGGTGTGTAAAAGGAGCGTGTTGAACAGAACTGAACCTCTGGACCTCAGTTTCCTGCTTTGCTAAAGGAGGGGCTTTGAAGATGAGCCCCAAGATCCTTCCAGCTTGAAACAATCAATGGATATGCATTTATAAAGTGCCCACCGTGGACCAGGCCAGAAGCGGTAGTGTGGTGCAGTGCCTAGCGGACAAGCTGGCCTTGCAATCAGGAAGTGCCAGGTCTGGGCACCTCTTCTGCTACCTCCTGGATGTGGGACCCAGAGTAGGTGCTGATATACTTGGGTACAGGGAGCAGTCAGAGCCAGGTTTAGGCAGATCCCTTTGGCAGCAGCAAGAAAGTTGAAATGGAAAGAAGAGAGCCTAGAGGCAGGGAGAGCAATAAATAGGATCTTGGAGGAGCCCAGATAAAGTGGGAGAGAGGCCTGAACCAGAGCAGAAGCTTCAGGAGAAGAGAGAGGGGATGGAGGCCAAAGGGGCATGAGATGAAGACTCGATGAGACAGTAGCTGATGAGATGTGTGGAGTGAAGGTCAGGGAAGGCCCAAAGGATCCTGGGCCCAGGCGGCCAAGGATCCAGAGGGCCTGGTGACACCCCTGGAAGGAGCAGCGAGGGTTGTATAGGGGGAGGGGGGGAGAATTGCTTCTGATTTGGCTACACTAAGTTGGAGGTGCCCAGGGCCCATCCAGTGGGAGCTGTCCAACAGGCAGCTGGTGACATGGGGCTCAGCAGAGAGATCGGTGAATGGCAGCAGATGAGATCCCCAAGGAGGATGGTGTGGAGAGATAAGAGGAGAATCCTGCAGTCATATGGGAGTCTGCCTTGGGAGGCAGCAAAGCCCAGCATGCTGAGCCCAGGATCTCAGAGGCTGTCAAGGCCAGCTGACACCTGCAGAGCAATCTCACCACGTCTCCTCACCTCCTGAAGTTGCCCTTTCCAGTATGGGCTAATTCCACCAGACAGGAAACTTTCTTTCTCTTTAGACTAATTCAGCCTCTTTTCAATCACAGCCTGCTCCAGTCCTGCTCTTGGGACTGAGCTAAGAAAGGCCAGCCTTTCAAACACTAGGAGATGCTTTGCAGCTTCCTCCCTGGTAAAAGATCCCTGGTTCTTCCTGCTGCTCATGTGACAGGGACAGAAACACTGCCCACATTTCCCTTCTTTTCTCATTAGTTTTGTACTTGGAAAGTAGGAGCTGAGTCCTAAAACATAAACGCTGCCTCTCTCTCAGCTTGCAGGGACCAAAACTGTGACTTGACTGACACAGGAGTGGTCAAGGCTGGCCTGGGTGCACCGAGATGTCAGGGGACTTGCTCAGAATCACTCTGCCTGTTCATGGCAGGGGTGCGACTTGACCCCAGATCTTGTTGAGCCTGGGGCTGGCTCTGTCTGCAGTGTCAGCCTGCAAGGCTGCCCCATCTCATTAGCCCTTGATGCTGTGGTCCCTCCTGGAGCATCCTGGGCCTTGGGCTGATGAAGAGGTCTCAGGATTTCCTAAGAAATCCCATAGACCATCCCCAGTGATCCTGCCAGAAGGAGCAGCTCATAGGAAGGCGCTGTTACAGTGAGAACAAGCCAAAAGTACCCAGGCACAACAGGCCCCCACCAGATGCTCACTCTCTGAGCAGTTGGGCTTAGGACTGCTGGGGAATGCTAGAGCCCAACAGATGACAGCCTCATGCTTTTCTCTCCTTCCTTACCTATGTCTTTTGCTCTGACTGCCACAGGTCTCCGGAGCTCAGTGACAAATTTCTTGGCATCCAGACGGATTTCTATGATGTTGTTCAGCAGGGCAAACAGAGGTGCCAGTGGGAAGGAGGCAACAAACAGGGTGACAAACCCAAACTGGATTACTGGAAGAAAGATAAGTGAGCATTCAGGGCACATGTACATGTGTGAGTGTCTGAGGGTGGCAGCCCCAGCTGGGTGGCTTTAGCCTTTGGGAGAAAGGCAGCTCCTGGACAGCAGGTTTGCTCAGTTTCACTCAAGACCTCCTCTGAATCCACACCATGGAGGGGGCATCCCGAGATCTAAAGAGTGCTAGCATCTACTGTGGCAGGTCTGATGTGGGAAAGGGTTTGAACACGCAAGGGCCCTGGAACCAGCACGCTGTCTTCTTTCTGAGGCCCCTGATTGGCTATGTTTGGGGAGGCTGACTCTGTAGCTATGGCAGCACTCAATATTGACAAGGTTCTGAGACTCACAGGGTGAGGACTGGGTGGAGAAGCTGCACAGGTTGGCTCCTAAGTCACAGAGGGCTGGGGTTGGAAGGAGCCCCATCAACAGCCTTTCTAGGTACTGAGATAAACCCTTGGCCTTGGTTAGCTGTGTAACCTCAGGCAAGACCCTTGACCTCTCTGGTCCCTAGTCTAATTTGTAAAAAATGAATCCATTTGGAAAAGGATGACATCTGAGACACCTTCCAGTTTTAGATGAGCCATCTCAAGTATTCAGAACAAAATGCAGCATGGGACCAGGCTTTGCTTTCCTGGTACGAGAGCCTGAGGGAGCTGGCCCCACCCTGGTTGGCTGTTCCTCACTCACTCCTGTCTAGTGGGTGACGAGGGGAGCCTCTTGCCTCCCCACAATCTGTGGGGCTGGGGCACCTCCTACGGAGCTGGATGTGTGCACTCTGCCAATGAAAAGAGTGGAGTTGGCAGTGAGGAGAGGCCATCCTATCCCTGTCCGGTCACCTCCCTTACACCTGGAGTGATTGCATTACAAACAGAGAGCCCTGAGCTTTGGCCCAGATCACAACCATCTATCCCAGAGTGCATTTGTCTCCCCTGGCTGTCTGAGGCTCAGAGCAGGCAAGCACCTTCGCCATGGTCACAGATGTAGCAAGTGTCTGAAGAGGAATCAGAACCCAAATCTTCCTGACTCCCAGTCCAGCATTTTATCTACTAAACCACACTGAAACATGGGAAGGAATAACATCCGTGCCCCTACCTAAGGAGAAAAGCACTTCATCAGCTTCAAGCAGCAGACAAATGAGGCCGACATCGACACTGGCCCTGACATTGACCTTAATCCTGACCCCAACATCTGTTACAGTCACTGCTGCCTGCCCAGCCTGGACCCTGCCCTCCAGGAACTCACAGTCTCCATGGCAACAAAGACTAATGCCTGGGGAAGAAGTCAGTGCAGCAGGAGAGGCCCCCTGGGGGATGGGAACTGTCCTGGGAAACTCATCCCCCCAAATAGGAGGAGTAAGGATGGACCCTAATGACCCCAAGCTGCCCTGAAACCTCCTGCAGCTTCACACGCTGTGACGAAACCTTGTCACGGTAGGATGTGGCTCTGCCAACTCTGGGGAGCTACATTGTAACTGAACTCAGCTTCATTTCAGAGTAGAGCGCTCAGGTCTGTTGCTTGAAGCACCTTTCCCTCTGACGGAAGCGGGCTCCGCTCCATTATGCTGTCTCTTCTGGGCACTCTTTGAAGGTAGAGACTGAACTGCCTTTTTTGGACTCTCCAATGCTTTGCACAGCACCTGGCACACAGCAGGCACTTAATAAATGCATGCTGACTATCTGGACTGAACAGAAATCTTTTTTTTTAAACCTTAAAGTTCCTTGTCTATGTATGGGTGTAGATTCCTGTACTGTATTCTTGCCCACTTTCCCTGGAAAGTACTTTTGGAATGTCAGGAACTTGGTTTGTTTAAAACATCAGTTGTAAGAGAAGGAATTCCTCCCCCCTGGAGGGCGACTACCCAGAATGCTTTGTCCAGTGCCATCTTCTTCATTCTCACTCAAGCTGAGATAGAGAAACAAGACCTGTGTGGTTCTCTGGATGCCACAGACCCTGTCACCAAGGGAGAGCAGAGAGAGGACAGTCTTGCCCAGGGTTTGGGGATGGTTACAGAATTGTTACCTGTAATTTTTGGCCCCTAAGCAGACATTTCCCAAAGAGCCATGATTCTATCCTGTAAGCACTGCTTCCCCCTCCCCCCCCCAACCCTAACCCCTCATTGCCTTAATCAAGGATTTCAATAGATGGCTGTGGCTGGCCTTCTAGTGATGAATCTGTACAAACTTAGCTTGGTAGGAAGGCTGGTCCTTGGACAACTACCCATCATAGGCTTAAGACTGGATGCCTATTTGTCTTGGTTGGACCTTCCACACTGGTTACTTCTAGAACATGGGGAGCCATCAGAAATCAGGGAAAGTAGAGAATAAGAGTGAAGGAAATGAGAGCTTCCCACTGGGAAATTTCTGAAAATTGCAAAAGAGGTGAGCTCTGTCCTTGGTAGCCTCCTCTGTTCCTATCCAGTGCCTTCCACAGACCCTGTGGCCTTCCTTGCCTTTCAGGAGGCAGCCATACCGCCAGAGTCTGAATTCCTCTAAATCTCACTCACTCATTTCCATGTACTCTGGAGTTAGTCCTGCAAAGGGCTCCAGGTTGTAATCCACCTCATAGCGCTGCTTCTTCTTTGTGGATTCTTCATGGTCAATTGGCCGCTGTTGTTTTAAGTAGCGGAAAAATTTCTTCATTTTTCTGGAAGGCAAATGAGGTGGCATTAATTAGCTTCCAGAATTAAGTACTCCTTGGAGAGAACCAAGGCATGATCACTGAATTCATACTTCTAGGCAGCTGACTGTCAGGTACATGCCATCTTGGTTTTACTAAGGAACTGACATGACTCAGGCCGTAGAGAAAGCCCTAGATTAGTTACAATGTTGAAATCCCCCACCCCCTTTATTCCCAAACCTACATAAAACTTAGCAGATGAGGAAATGGAGGTCCAGAAAGAAAATGACTTGTCCAAGGTCACACAGGTAACACATGCAGAAATCTAACTCTTGGGTTAGGGCTCTTTTTGCTGTCCCTGGTACCACCTGCCCAGGAGAAGGGAAGCTGCTTCTTGAGGCAGGAACTGCTTTCAATGTTCTCTTTGTGTGACATGTCCAGCACAGGGCTCGGCACATAATACGTGATTACCTCATGAATGAAGGAATCTCTTCGATTCACAGAATGTTGAGTCAGAAAAAGACCTTTGAGGGTATCTTGTCCAACCTCCCTCAATTCACTGATGAGAAAAATGATGTACAAGGTCCTACAGATGGTGGATGGTGGAGTTGGCACATGAACTGGGCCTTTGGGTGCCAAGCTGGGCCATCTAGCCTGCCTCCAGCTGGCTCCCAAATGCTCATCCAATTGGATGTCCATGGCCTCTGGAGAACACAAAGCAGCCTGGGGCAGCCTTCAGCTGAGAGTGTGGCTTGTTAGAGCATCAACCCACAAGGCAGTCCATGAGATGACTCAGCTGCCTAGCCTGGGAGGCCCACAGAGCTTGAATCATTTGCTCAAGACTCCTAAGTCAAACCAGAGCCCTGAAGGCTCCCACTGCCCATCAGGTTGCCCTTCCTCCCCATCCCCAACTGACTTTTCTCAGCTATGAATATCCTGTTTTATCCCAGCAACAAGTGGCATCCTGGCCCAATGGACCATCTGTGGTGTCAGGAAGGCCTGGGGGTGAGTCCTGCCCCCAACACATAGTGGCTCTGTTATCCCAGGCTCTAAATAACTCTCTAAGACTCTAAGGTGTGAAGCAGGTGGCTGTCCACATAGATGGAAGGCATTTCCATGTGTGAACAAAATGGTTAGATGAAACTTAAAAATAAAGAGCAAGGTGGGAATCATTACTACGATTACACTTGTTTTGTGGATGAAGACCTGCCTTTGGTATCTGTTAGCTGAGTGATCATCGGAAAGACCTGGAAACTTATTGAGCTGTTTCTTCACCTGTAAGAGAGGGCTAACAGTACCTGAAGGAATTGCCTCCCAGATAGATCAGGACATCTGTAAACTGCTGTCACCACTAGTGAAGCTAGGGGGCACCATAGTGCACAGAATATGGCGCCTATGCTCAGGAAGATCGGAGTTCAAAACTGACCTCAGACATTGACTAGCTCTGTGACCTTCGGCAAGTCACTTCACCTGTCTTCCTCAGTTTCCTCATCTGTAAAATATGGATAATAACAGCAACTATCTCGCCAGGTTGTTATGAGGAACAAAAGAGATCAGCACGGTGCTTGGCACATAGCTGGCATTTTACAAAAGCTAGCAAATGCTATTATTATAATAGAAATGTCAGCTTTCATAACTTTGAGGAAACAGACTCATAGAACTCAAGAGTTTGCAGTGGAAATTAAAAATAAAATCTCTTCCATTTATATGCATTTTAGAGTTTATAAAGTCTACCTTCCTCTGAGCCTTATTAATATAGTGAGATGGCTGCTACACATGTCCTCTCTCTCTCCATGCTGCCCAGAGAAGGAGGGAATGCTCCACAGACTGTCCTGATGCCCAAAAAGGTGGATTCAAAGGCTCCCACATTTCCATGCCCTCACTGTCAAGAACTTTTAAGTGTCAGGTGTGGAAGAGACCTTCAGGATTATCTAAGCTGGCTCCCTGCACAGGGGACTGTCAGTCAGCCTTGGAAGGAGAGAAGCCCCAATCCCAAACCAGTAGGAGTCCACAATCTTGGCTGCTCTAGGGCCCCCAGCCTGGGCCCCTCCAATTGCCCCTCCCCCCACCATGGTGGGTCACTTACGGAATGCCTATCTCAAACAGGTTGTTCTGAATCAGCTGCTTGCCCAACATGATAATGCTAAGCTGGATGCAGAGTTCCATCAAACAGCCACCAGGTGCACACTGGGATAGCACAGAGGAAGGAAGGAGAGCTCATTAGCTTCCATTGGTCCTCTCTCTCCTGTCTCCTCCTCTGCCTCCTCCCCAACTCTGACTAGGGCACTGGGGTGGGGGCAGGGGGTTCGGAGCCATTCAAGAGTATCTCCCTTCAAAGCTTAGCCTTCCCTGGAAACAGAAAACCTTAGTGATCCCCTGGAAAGCACCGAGTTCAGTGCTTCTTACTAGATATGGGGAGACTGACGTCCAGAGAGCACTTACCTGAGTGTGGAGTGAGTTGCTAGCAGAGCTAAGACTGTAACCTGGCTATCCATCAGATACTGATGGCTAATGCTCTGCCCATTTGGCAACATTACCAGTCTGGTCAACATGTGCTGATTTTGTTTTTAAATCAAGGGAAACAACCTGTTTGGGGGCCAGAGTCTAAAGAGATGGATCCTGCAAGATCCAAGCTCAGCTAAGGATCTGGGGAGGGAGGAAGCAATGAATTGGTGGCTGTCACTGCCCTCTTGTTTAAGGCCCAACTGACATCCACTGCTTGCCGCTTCTTTCTTTGAAAGGCCCCAAAGGCATAGGTGATGGAAACAAGGCCAGAGCTAGGTGGGGAGCCCTGGGGGTGCCAGTTACCTCTTCCATGCGGAAGGAACCGAAGATGTAGACATAGTCTCCCGGGCGTCCGACAAACCTAGAAGAAGATGGGGGTGGGGGGTGGGGTGATGAGCAGGAAGCTCAGCTCCTGGGGCATCATGGGAGAGCAGCTCCTCCTCCGATTACCCCCAAATGCCCTGCTGGGAGGAGTGGGGAGCATGACCCGAGGGTCTGCTGGGCCTAAAGGATGAATTGTTGCTGTTTGAAGCTGGACCGAGCTGAGGGATCGCTATCTCCACACACTCATCTGCAGCAAAAATACCACAGATGTTTCTGCTTTGCCAACATTCGCTTGACCCCAGCCTCCCCTGTAAACATCCCTTAAAAGTGTAAGAGAGTCAAGAAGAAAGACATTTATCTTCCCCCACAAGAAAACAAGGATGGAGGGTGGGGAGAATGTTGCCCCAAAGTGGGGGTGGGGAGAACAATGAGCTCGGCATCTGAACAGAGGCTGGGTCGGCCCCAGAAGCCGTCTTGGACCATGCAGTGCATGGCACCCCAGGAGCATGCCCTGGTCTCTCCATACATTTCCTGGTCGGACCCTTCTCAATACACAAGTCACATAGCCCGACGGGCAGCAGCCACCTTGGCACTGGTGATGGTCAAAAGAGGTTCCAGGCCTGGGAGGCTTGTTGTGAAACTCTGTCTGTCTCTCTGTCTCTGTCTCTGTCTCTGTCTCTCTCTCTCTCTCTCTCTCTCTCTCTCTCTCTCTCTCTCTCTTTCTCAGATCTCTCTCTCTCTCTCTCTCTCTCTCTCTCTCTCTCTCTCTCTCTCAGATCTCTCTCTCTCTCTCTCTCTCTCTCTCACGCACACACACACACACACACACACACACACACACACACTAAAAGCAAGAGTTCAGAACAAGAGATTGAAGTGGGGGGATCAAGAGGACTTGCTGTAGAAAGGGGGGGCAGTGTCTGGTCTCTCCTTAGCAGAGTTCATCCATGCTGGGTACAAGGCCAGACAGGCCAATTCACGAGTTTCCCTGTGGATTTTGATTGGAAGAGGTTCCCAGAGATCTTTGTGCAACCCTGGACCCCCTTTAAATAAAACAATAATAATAGTTGGCCACAAACCCAGCATTTTCCAAGATCTCATCAAAGAAGACCTTATACTGGGCAGGATGAATCCGAAATCAGATCTGAGATCACAAGAGGAAGGAGAAGGGAAGGGAATAATTATGTATTTAGTGCCTACTGTGTGTTAGTCACTTTGGGATTATTATCTCATTTTATCCTCACAACTCTGGGGAGGTGCTGTTATTATCTCCATTTTACAGATGGAGAAATTGAGGCAAACAAAGTTAAATGACTTGCTCAAGGTCACACAGCTAGCAAGCATCTGAAGCAGGATCTGAATTCAGGTCTTCCTGACTCCAGCCTTAGAGCTCTGTAGGGGTGACCTGGAATGTGGCCCCTTGACTCCATGTGATGTGAAAAATGTCAGCGTGGCTTGGCCACAGTTTCCTGAGCATCCAGTGCCCCACCAGGGCCTTTGGGTGTCCACAAGGTTATTTTATCATATACAACCTGGAGGGCTGCCTTCCCCCTGCAAGGCCACATCCTCCAAGGGACCAAATACACTGATTTCTGGGGTTCTCACCGGCCTTTGAAGAAAGCCACATAAAAGATGGGGGTGTAAGCATTCACAAACTTCAGCAGGAAGGCCTTGAAAATCAACCGCTCCTCAAAGTTCTTGTCCGTCTTGGGAACCTCTAAAACCAAGAAGATGGATTTTGTGGTCAAATGGCCATCCAGATGTTCCCACCTGACCCCTGGTATGAAGCACCAGGGAGAGCCGGTGCCAGGCTGCCTGCTGCTCACCAATCTGGGTCAGCCATCGCGCTATGGAGCCATACAGTTCGTCCAAGATAATGATGACCACCAAGTTGATGATGACCGCTGTGGCCGTGACTGTGACCCGCACATTTGACCGGCCGGAGGGGGAGGAGCTGATGGCCAAAGCTGCTGCAGTGGAGATCCTGTAGATGATGACTGCAAACACGATGGCGAATGTCAGTCCAATCTGGGGAGGAGAGAGAAAAGCATGGCCTTCGTTCATTCCAGTCTCTCAGGGAGAACCGAGTGAGTCAGCAAGGTGAGTACTGGGGGCCAGAAAGGCTGTAGATTCAAGCACCCCAGGCAGTCCTTTCTTATTGGAACCATCCAGTGTGTGTTCCCACAGCCCACACTGAGGGAAGCAGCAACATAGTATGAATGAATAAAGCTTTTATGGAGCAATTACTGTATGCAAATCACCAGAGATGAATATAGAAAGACAGTTCCTGCTCCCATTCCAATGAGGGAGACACACAACCCGGATGAAGTTGTCCTGTGGTGTAATGACTTGTCCGGGGTCACCCAGCTAATTCATTAGAGGTAAGATTTGAATCCATATCCTTCCTGGCTCTCTGTCCACTGCACTGAACTGCCTGCAAAGCACTTCACGTCATGATCTTTACAACTGCCATGGAAAGTAGGTGTAATTATTATCACCATTTTGTAGATGATGAAACCGAGGCTAAGAAAGGTGGTGACTTGCCAAGGGTCACACAGTTAGTCAGTGTCTGAGAGAAGCTGAACCCAGCTCTTTCTGACTCCAGGCCCAGTTTTCTTTCCACTGAGCTGTGCTACCTCTTGGTCATGTAACTAGCAGGTTTTCTCACTAGTGGGGCAAGTTTGCCAGGAGATATTCCCTAGGAACAGGAATGTTCAAGTTATAGCCCTATCTGCTTTGCTTCATCACCAAAGAAGTCTGTGACTAAGGAACTGGAAGATGCGGCGAGTTTAAATCCTGCCTCAGACACTGACTAGGCGTGAGACCCTGGGCAAGTCACTGAACCTGAGTCTCGGTCTCTTCTGTACCTCACAGGGCTCTTTGGTTGTTGTCAAGTTGTTTTTTCAGTCATGTACAACTCTGGGACCTCATTTGGGGTTTTCTTGGCAGAGATATTGGAGTGATTTGCCATTTCCTCCTTAAGCTCATTTTACAGATGAGGAACTGAGGCCAACAGGGGTAAGTGACTTTCCCAGAGTCACCAGTTAGAAAGTGTCTGAGGCCAACTTTGAACTTCTGGCCATGACTCCAGCACCACTGTGGTGCCACCTCGCTGCCCCCAAAGGGCTATGAAAAGATACATTAAATGTTATACATGTTTTATCATTATTATTGCTGTTACTATTTTCACCACCAAAGAAATATCTTAAGATAAGTTTAAAAGAATTAGTTAGAACAAATCATGCCCTGTTGTTGTTTCTGGTGCCTGGAAACAAAGACAGCTGGAGAGAGGGAAACAGAAGCAGCCAAGAGATTCAGGAGGTGAATAAAGGTTGGATGTTAGAGCCCTTCCCCTTCCCAGCAGAGCCCTGTGGGGAGACCCTCCCTAATCAGATAGCCACTCCTGAGCCAGAGGCCTTCTTCTACCTTCCTCACTCCCATCCAGAAAGCAGCTGGCAGCTCTACCTCCTGGGCAGGAATGCTAGAGAAGGTGACACCACCCTCCTTGCTGATGAGGGTGATGAGAGGTACTGAGACCCGAGAACCTTGGCAGGAGGCAGGGCCAGCCTGGCCTTCCACCCAACTGGAAAGACTGCTTCCTTTGGTTTTTGGGGAATGAGAAGAGGACTGGAGGTGGAGTTTGGGAGATCTCGCTTTGAATCCCACTTTAGCCAATTCCTGGCTGGTTGACCCAGGGCCAGTCCATCTTTTTGTGTCCTCAGTGACCTCCTCTGTGAAATGGGGATAAGAATAGCTGCTCCCTGTGAAACTCACATAATATCACACACCCTAACCTAAAAGGGAGATGGAAATGTTAGCTTTTCTTGCCCAGACAGGACCTTAATGCTGAGCCAGCCTGAGGCTCATATTTAAGAGCTGGAAATTTGGTCTTATGACAAAGATGAACAGCTGATTCTGAAGCTGATTTAGTCATCCAAAAACCAGGACCTCAAGGGGCTAATAAACTTCAAGGCTCCCATTCTGGCCCATAAGGAAGTCTGTTAGGCAAGGTGTCTATAGGGTTCCCCTGTCCTCGGCAAGTCCAGGTCTGATGGTTTCACTCTCGGGGTCTAGGGTTGGAAAGTTCTAAAGCACAGGTGTGATCATGCCACTTCTCTGGCCAAGAACATTCAGTGGCTCCCTATTACCCCACCCCACCCCCCAGTTCTTACTGCTTCCCCTCCCCTAATTACTTTATATTTGCTTTGCATATCTTCCCTATTCATTTATACAAGTGGTAAGTCCCTGGAGAGAAGGGATCATTCCAGCTTTGCCTGTCTCTCCAGTCTGGCAGAAAGGTGCAGAATCCCACTTCCTTCCCAACCAGCAGAAGTCCCCAGGCCCACCTCTGGTTTCCTGAACACTTACCATGAAGATGAAGCTGACGAGGTTGGTCAGGTAGGCTGGGAGTCGGTCTTTCCACGTCAGTTTCTCCTTATCGATCTATAGCATGAAATAGACATGTTGTCATATATCCCAGCTCTGCCAGCCTTGGCTATGCACTGAGTTTAAAACAGGGAGACAGCTCCAGACAAGGGAGGTCAGGGGGTGTTCCATCCCACTTCCTCCTAAGCTAGGGGACCCTGGCTTGCCTTGTTGTCCATCCCACAGACCAGAACAGTCATCTGCCTCCTCCACATCAAGCTGAAGCAAGTATTCATTATCGTAGGTTAAAATGCTTTTTGCCACCTTCATCAGCCATGATGCCAATTACTAAGCACATTTTTTGATCTGAATCTGTTAATTTACCCCTTTCACTATGAGAAGCAAGAAGATAGTTATCAAGCTCAGGAGGCAATGTTGTTGTTTAGAAACCTGTCATTGACCCAGTCACCTTTCCTAGGTGGGGCTGGAGGACTCTGGTGTTTTCCAACTATCAAAGAGCCGTTTATGAAGTAATACATCCCTGAAAACAATGAAAGGGGTATATATGTGCCAGGTGGGCAAGGGGGCATGCACGTTCACTGAAAACAACACAGGCACCCAAAGCAAGAAAACAAGGCGACCGGATCAAGCACATTTGTCATGCTTCAGGACCCGTTAACAGCTCCCTCCATTCACAAACAAATCCTGGCCTCAGCCATGCAGTGCCAACTTCTCCATGGGTGCTAGATGGGAAAAGGGGACAGGTGTGAAAATCAAGAACAAAAGTCTGAGCAGCTAGATTTGGCTGGAGGCAGAGAGGGAAGGCAGACAACTATGGATATCATTGACTTTGTTTTTTTGGCAAATGCCCAACATTTCAATTCCTTCAGGAAAGGAAATGTACCAATTTCACCCCCACCATGGCTGTCTTAACTCTTTTTCTCCATTTGTTTGCTGTCTCCTCCGGCAAACGTCCAGGCTTCTGAGAGCAGGGAGAGATAAGGAACAACAATAACAGCAAAAAATGGACGAGGAGCTGGAGTGTCACCCTGAGGGGACACCGGTGCCCGCTGAGTCATCCTCACCCGCCCGACTGGTGTGCGCGGCTTGAGCAGAGAGCTCACCCTGCGCTTTACTCACTCCAAGGCTAATTTCTGGTTCGGGTCAATTTAAACAAAGAACAGACAGCAGGTGCTCAACTTTGAAAAGAAATGCTGCGGAAGAGGCATTTGAGAAGAAAGGTCAAGCACAGAACAGAGCTGGACAAGGCCGCCGCATATGAAGACACTCCATCTCCTAGTGCTGGAGGCCAGGGTTTAGAGATCACAGACTCCAGCTGTCTCTTTTTAGAGGATAAGACTGAAGCCTGGAGAGAGTCTGCAACCTTGGACGGGGCCAAGTTACACAATCACAGATTTAGAGCTAGGAGACACCTCCAACTTCAGTCCAGAGCTTTTATTTTACAGTGAGGAAATGGAGCCAAAGAGACTTGCCCAAGATGATGCGGGTCATGTGTGGAATTTGAACCCAAATCCTCTGTGCCCAATTCAATGGACTTCCCCTACTGATCCTCCCCTGTCTCCAGGTCTTTGCCTAGGATGCTCCTGCTGTCTGGAAGGCACACCATCCCTTCCGGCTAATGCCTCAATGGGTCCCTAACCTCCTTCAAAGTCATTCCTGACCCTCTCCCCTCCCCCCCCAGCAGCTATTAGCACTTTCTGTCCCTCAAAATTCCTCTGTACTTACTCCCCTGAGAACCTGTTCTGTCTCCTCAGGAGAATGGCAGCCCCCTGAGGGCAAGGACTACTTTATTTCTGCTCCTCCCCTAGTGCTTGGGCTCAAGATTTTGTTGTTCCACATTAGCTAGTGTCTCTCTACACCGCTCCTCCCTCCCCCTGTAAAGTGAAGAGATTGGATGAGATCCTGACAGGCTCTTCAGGTCTCTGACTGCACAAGCCTCTGACTGCACAAGCCCACATCTTCCAGGGACCTATGTAACCCATGGGGCAGGAAGGACACAGGTGTTACTCCTATGAATTCCAGCACTCCCTTCTCTCCTGAGTGTGAAGGTCTAGGGAATGCTTGGCCCATTATGATCACACTACGGTTGGGTCCCCAATGACAGGATTCTTGCTTGACTCTGCTACTGACTAGCTATATGACCCTGGGCAAGTGGATACCCCTGTCAGGGCCTCAGTTTCTCCCTCTGTCAAATGGGGGAGTTGGTCTAGATGATCAAAGTTTAAGGTCCCTTCTAGCTTAGGTCCTTGGATCCTATCACTATCTTCTTCCCATATAGGTTGTAGTAAGTTAAATAGATGCAGCCAGGTGGATTGCACAGTGGATGCAATGCTGGCCTGAGTCAGGAAGACTTGAGTTTGAATCCTGTCCCAGACACTTATTAGCTATGTGGTCTGGACCACACCTAACCCCTCTTGGCCTCTGCTGCCTTCCCTACACAATGGGGGTAACAAGAGCACTGACCTTCCAGGGCTGTTGTGAGCCTCAAATACATGCATGGCAAGCACTCTGCCCGCCTTCAGGCAGTAGAAAAATGCTGGCTGTTTATTCTTAGCTCATTAGTATTGGGCTGGATGCAGGTCAGGGCAAAAAGCTTTTATTGCACAGGAACCTTGAGGCAGGCACGGTGCTAGGTGCTGGGAAGCCCCAATCTAAACGGCAGGGGGTACAGCACACATTGTACCCACCAATGAGCTTCTCTCCAACAGAGGCCAGAGGAAATACAAAGTAATTTGGGGTTGGGGGGAGCACCAATGCCTCATGTTGGAGTGAGCCACATTCTGAAGAAGACTGGGATTCTTCCAGGATGAGCTAAAGGTGAGAAGAGCATTCCAGGCCAAGAGAGAATGATTCTCTCTCTTGTGCCATCCGGAGACCATGTCAGGGGGTGTATCATGCCCTCTATTTCAGTCTGATGCCAGGAACCAGACACCAAACGGGCTCCTAGGGCTCAGCTCAATTGAGTGAGCTGTTGAGGGCACTACCATCCTTCCCAGTGACCCTGACTAGGGGCTCATCCTCAGCTCCTCACTCTCTCACCCCCACCATATGCAATCAGACGACAAGTCCTGTTGTTTCTACCTCTCCAAAACACCCCCTTCTGCCCTCTGACATGGCCCTCAACCTGGTGCAGACCCTCCTCCCCTCACGCCTGGACTATTGAAATGGATGCTGGGGGTCTGCCTGCCTCAGTTGCTCCCCACTCCAGCCCAACCTCCACTCAGCCACCAAAGTGATGCTGTACTCTGTGACTCAGTGACCCTGGCCTTGTGGCCCTTCCCTAAACCGGTCCCTTCAGCTCCTAACTGAGCATATTCACCTGCTGGCCTTCAAGCCTGGAACTCACCCTCTCCCTCTTATCTCCACCTAGTGAGTTTCCCTGACTTCCTCCAAGTCTTTGCTAAAGTCCAATCTTCTGGAAGAACTCTTGTCTGGCTCCTTCCCTGAGATTATCACCAGTTCATTTGGTCTCAATCTGGTTTGTGCACAGTCACCTCCTCCTCATACTATCAGTTCCTTGACAACAGACATGGTTTTAATTTTTATTGTTTTGGGGGGTAGCCTAGCACTTAGCACAGTGCCTGACACGTAGCAGGTGCTTAATAAATGCTTATCGACTGTACAAGGTGAAGATCTGACTCAGGACATGGGCAAGGACTTCTTGTATTAACAATGAGGGGCCCAGGCACTGGGGAAAGCCCTCCTTGTCATCTGCCTGCCTGGGCATCTCCTCCTCCATAGATGCCCTGTGGCAACGCCTGGGAAGTCTGATGGGAAATCTGATTTGGGAGACAGTCAGCTTTCTTTTTCAGATGTTTTTTTTTTATCATTCTCGAGATATGGGGAAATGCAGAAGCTCACAAACGTCATTGAGGAAGAAGAGCTTCCTTGCAGGCATCAGAGGGAAAAAGGCCCGGTGACTGGCAAAAGTATATATGGTATGTGAGACAATGAAAATGAAACCTAGACGTAACAGAGGAATCACTTCTACAGGGGAGGGAGGGACTTCTTGTCAAAACTGATGGGTCCTAGTCCACCTCCCACCAGCATGATAATGGCCATTTGCTGAGGGTCCTAGGTCCTCATGAAACCTTCTGTGGGATCCTGAGGCTTCTAAGGGGGGATGACCAGCCTATGAAAAAGCAGGGCTGCCCAGTTATCCCTAAGGCACAAGTCAGCCTAGGCCACTTCCTGGCTGAAGAAGCTGCAGGGGATCACTACTGCCTGCAGGCTAAGATACACAAATAGAGCCCCTGTTTGGCGTTTAGAGTCCTGCCCAGTCACGCCAGCCGACCCTCCCAGAGTGAGCTCACAGCACTGCTCCCTGTGCTAGACTGTGGCTCTCCCCGTCCCCCCCTCGCAGCCTCAGTTCAGCGGCTGCAGCCTTCAGTGGTCTTTTCCTGCCCCATCCCCTTCTCTAGTTGTTAGCACTCTCCTCTCCACAGCCAGTTCTTTGTAGCTGTCGGGTAGATATTTTGGATTTACTTCTCAGCATTAACATTGCATTTTCTCCACAGAATGTCACTTTCCTGAGGGCGCCATGGCATAGAGCCAGAAAGACCCAAGTTTGAATCCTGCCTCAGACATTTGATAGCTGTGTGACCCTGAGTAAGTTACTCCACTTCAGTCTCAGTTCCTTCATCTGTAAAATGGGGATAACAGTGGCACCTACTTCCAGGGTTGTTATGAGGATCAAATAAGATGTTCTATGTAAAAAGCTTTGCAAACCTTAAAGCCATATAGATATCTGTACGTATGTATGTATGTATGTATGTATGTATGTTATTATCACTATCACTGTTATTATCGTTAGCTCTTTTCATTTCTGTATCCTGAGTGCCCTCTAGAGCACCTGGCACATAATAGGGGCTTACTATCCATCTCCTGCTGGAGGTCCTGCTGGAGGACCCTTTGCTTGGTGAGGCCAGCTTCAGGCCCCTGAGAGAATGCAGTCATCACCTCCTCCCCACAAAGAATCATGGCTCTTAGTGAGAACTGCCGAGGCAGTGGGGCACCTACCTCCTTGGTTCGGCAATCTTTCCGAAGGGATTTCTTCAAAACCTTGGCCTCATACTCAGCCCTTGGATGAGCCTGTGGAATAAGGCCAGTCTCAAGTTCAGTTACAAAGCAGAAATGCCAGCCCAGCCCAGATGTGAACACATGGCCAACCGCTCCCTAGGCTTGGGTCAGGTTCGCAGAGCTGTTGGAGGTTGGTGCCAGGTCAGAGCTGTGCCCTTTGGACTGCCCCCTCCCCTTCCCCTTGTAGCTCCCTGGGAATTCTCCCCACTGGCAATGGATGAGAGGGGCTGCCCCCATCCCTGGGGCAGCTTCTGTTTCTTGGCAGCAAGCCCCAGGCAGTTCAAGAACTTGCTGACCACAGAGATGGTAGCCAGAGACAAGTGCCATACAGCAATCAGAGGAGAAAAGATTAGCCTCAGCATGCCCCAGCAGATGCAAAGATCCTCCTACCCCCACACCCATTCAAAGGCAGGCTCTTGGCTTGGACCAGCTAGAAGAACAGAAAATGAGAATGGAGGACTGAATGTTAAGACAGGCCAATGCTGGTAGGAAAAAGGACAGCCTGGCTACTGGGCAGAGGAGCCATGGAGAAGGGCTCTGTCAGGAAGCAGGAAAGGAAATGAGATGATGGCCGAGCATCAGGGGTGAGCGCAAAGTCCCTTTGTGCAGGGAGACAGGGCGGGAGGAGGAAGTGGAGTCACAAAGAGTTCCAAACCTTGACGGTCTCCTTCATGGATCAGTAAAATGGGGAGAAGAAAGAAACAACAAATTGCAAATTACTTCAACGGGCTAAAAATCACAATGTCTCTTTTTGCCGAGAAGTCAGAAAGCCAGGGAGAGCAGAGATGGAATGGGGGCAAAAGAGATGGCTGGGAAACATTCCACCCTGATGCCTGTCGAATCCCCAGGTCATTGTTTGGGGAATCATCAAAATAAATCATCTTTATATAGTGTTGGAACCTCCCAGAGGATGTGATGTGTTTAAATACTTTGGGCTAATGTGAAGGAAGCACAGGGCTGAGTAATGAGACCCCATATGCTTCTTGCTTCCTGATTTTATCCTTAGCCACTGGTGCCCAAACCTCTGGGGACGTGAAACACCCTAGGCCGCTAGCATCTCACACCTCTCTTGTCTCGCAGTGACTGGGGGGCACAGTGGAGAGAGTGGGCCTACCCAGGAGAAGTCCCCTTTGGAGACACTCGGGAAGTCTGAGGCAACTCAATGGTTTCCATCCTGCCCATCACAGTGTGGTCTAGCTCTATAGCCAGGGGCCCTGGGTTCACCTTCCAGGCCTGCCCCTCAGTAACTGTCTGAGTGCCTTCAAGTCCCCGGGCCACTTTCCTCCCCTCTGTCAAATGAGGGGGGTGGGCCTCCAAGGTCTTGTCCTTTCATCCCTAGGCCTAGGAGCCTATGAAGAAGGAAGGACCCCAGAACTTTGTCTTCTCTGGAGCATCATTTTCCCATTGGGAATTTCCCATTCCCAAGGCACACCAAGGACCAGTGATTTCCTGGTGTGGGATCTTCCTACCAGGACAATGATCCATTTATAACTTGGGGTCTTGGAAGATTAGTTGGCTGAGGTTTTGGTTGCTGTGTCCAGGGCTAGTTAGTGAGTGGGAGAGGTTGGGTTTGGCCCTGCTGACCCCAAATCCAGCACCTCTGTGTCCATTAGACACAACATGTCAAAAATGCTTCAGGACTCCAGAGTCCTAAAGCCATGCCAAGCACAGCTCTGGGGAAAGAGGGACCTTCCCCCAATTCTCCTCTTCTCTTCACCCCAATCAAGTCAAAGAGTCAGACTCTTCCTATCCCTTGTATCTCAACACTTAGCATAGTACTTAGCACAAAGCAACAGCTTAGTAAATATCAGTGGAATCTCATTCCATCAGGCTCCACCTGTTTGTACGTAACCCACATGCATGCCCCCCAACATGTACCCAGTCACCTGGCTTCCCATGACCCATTACTCAAGCTTCCTGCCCACACTATACCCTGCACACATACCTTCCATATGTATTCCCTGGCCATGCGTGTTTTCTGCATGTGTGCCCTCTCCCAATATTGTTGTGGTAACTTATGGAAGAATGTACCCACACAGCAGTGATCATTCCTTGTCCCTGATTTGCCAGGCTGTTGCATTAAATGTCTTTTTTAGGGCAAAGCACTGTGTCTTCTGGAAGGCTGGTAGATGTAAGCACATCAGTAGGGGCTCACAAGCTGTGGCTGTTTGTGAGTAGCAGCCCAGAGAGTGCTACATTTGGGAGAACAACGAGGGGGTGGGTTGGGGGCTACATGATCCCCACAAGACAAATAAAAAAATGGCATAAAATCATATCTGTGCCTCTGACCTCAAGGGTCACTCTCTATCAAAACGGTTGAAATGATCTGTCTGGCTATTTTTAAACACAAAGGAGATTTTTACGTTGTAACCCAAATGTCTTACAGAGTTAAAAAACAACAACAACAAATGAACTACCAAACTCAGATGGTCTGCTATGATGTACAAAGGAGCTCATGAGGTCACAGGGCTGGTGACTGCTGGCAGCTCTGGAGGCCTTGGGGTCTGTGCCAGAAACATTTCGTTTTTTTCTTTTCTTTTTTTTTAGGCAGTTGGGGTTAAGTGACTTGCCCAGGGTCACACAGCTAGTAAGTGTCAAGTGTTTGGTCTGAGGCCGGATTTGAACTCAGGTACTCCTGACTCCAGGGCCGGTGCTCTATCCACTGCACCAGAAACATTTCTAATAAATGATCCCACTCTTTCATCTGACAAGATCTGAGGAAACCAGCAAATAGTGATGAGTCAATGAGGGCCTTTCTCCTGAGCTGCCGGGAGAAGACAGAGCACTCTGGCTTCAAGCCCTCCCATGAAGCCATAATTACACTTTGAATCTTCCCTCCCTTTTTTAGATCCCAAAGGGGCCAATGGGTTTTGTGCCCTTCAGTATTTCCGTCTTCCCCCCACCCCCTCGCCATTAACCACACCCAGTGGTAGAAGCGTTAACCAGTGAGCTGGCCAGAAGGGGGAGGTTTGGGCCTCATTTGTGTGAGCCTTTTGTCTAATATTACCCTGGCAAGGATGGGGGGCACGCCTGGATGGGCGGGCTAGCTTGCACCACATGGCCCAGGCCCTGCTTTTAGCACCTTAACCAGAGCAGCAAGGGAGTCTGAGTATACAGGAATCTCCATGACCACACCAGTGGCTATGGTCTCCCCCTGGTGTGGATGTCCAAAGCATTCCTGCACATACATGGGGCAGGTCTCCCTGGTAACCAAACATGCCTCCAACACATCCAGAAATGAGCTCAGAAACAGACCACAGGGAGGATTTTCCTTCTGCCCTTGGACAAGGATCACTTTACCATCCCATACCACACTCACATAAGGCTGCAGGACAGACAGTATTGTTTTTGGGGACTTACAAATGCCCTAGCAACTGAGAGGAAAGAGAAGCATGCAGATGCAGCCAGCAGCCAGTGGTACCGACCTCTTCCTCCTCGAACCCAGTCAGGTCCCATTTATAGTTGAGCCGCATCTGTTTTCTTTTCCAATGTTCCATAAACATGGCAGCTGGACAGAGTAGAGAAAAAAGGAGTGAGGCAAATTCACAGGCAATTTTGTTAATGTCTATGGCCGTCAAAAGCCACTTCAAGCTGGCTCAGGAGGACCTATTTAGACACATTGGCTGCTGAGGTGGAAATGAGTCACTGGGGCAATCCTCCCCATTAGGCTGGCCCAGGTTAGTTTTACAGTTCTAGGGACCTGGCCTGGTGTGTTTCCAGCCTCACCATCCTCTCAGCCCAGCCCAGCTTCCCAGACCCAGATCTAATGTCAACTCTTTCCTGAAGTCTTCCCTGGCATCTCCCCCTGGAAGCCACCCCCGAAGCACTTTGTTCTCCTCTTAAGGCACTTACCAGCCTCCTTCACAGTCTAGTCATTTTTATCTGTTTTATGTTCCAATTAGTTCCTAAGCTCCTTGAGGGGTGGGGCTGATCTTATGCATCCACCTGCAAGCTCCTTTCCCGTGTGCCCACACACATCTAAGTCTCCCACATCCTTCAAACAATCAAAATCCTTCACTTGACCTTGCTACCCCCTCAACCTTTGCTTTCCTTCCTTTCACTGCTCACTTTTCACTCCCTCGTAGACTGGCTCCCAACACCACCACTTGACTCAAAACTGTTCTCAAGGCCACCAGTGACCTCTTTTCCCAGTCCTCATTCCGCTGGAATGCTCTGCAGTTGTCCAACACTCTTGGTCACACACGCCCTCCTGGACAGACTCTTCCCTTGGCTTCCATGTCATGACCGTTGTGGTCCTCTTTCCATCTGTCTGGATTTTGCTACTTCTCAAGTTCCTTGAATGGGTGGTCATCTGTCTCCTGGCCCTAGCATGGCTGTTGCCCAGGTCTGGATCCTAGACACTCATCTATCTCTTCTCTAGTTATGCACATCTCCATCTTGAAGAACTCACCAATTTCCATGAGTCAGTTACCATCTCTGTGGAGCTGACCTCCAGATCTAGGTATCTTTTTAATTTTTTTTTAAATTTTCACTTTAGTCATGTTGTAAAGAAGAATTAGAACCAATGGACGAAACCATGAGAAAGAAGAAACCAAAAAAAGAGAGAGAGAGCAAATAGTATGCTTTGATCCAGATCTTGCCCTAGTCTCTTCCACTGGAATCTTCTCCTGGATGTCCTATATTTATCTCAAACTCAACCTGCCCAAACTGGGATTCATCATCTTCCCCCCTAACCTGCCCCACTTTAGAATGTCCCTCAATCTCTAGACAGCACCATTACTGCAGCCATCCAGTTCACCACCATGAAGTCTGCCTTGCCTCTCCTCTCCCCCACCCCTCCCCATCCCTATCCAATCAATTGTCAAATCTTCTTTGTTTTTGTGATGACCATTTCTCTCATGTCTGTTCCCTTCTACCCACTCGCATGGATACCCCCCTGTTTCAGGCCCTTAGCATCTCTCTGTTGGTCCACTGTGCCAGCCAACTGTTTCCCCTGCATTTATTCTCTCACATTCCCAGCCTGTCTACACCTGACATATTGATATTTCTAAAGGACAGGTCTGACAATGTCATTCTATTGCACCACTTGTTCTGTAATCTGGCATTTAGGAATCAGATTCCAACACACCTCTCCCATCTTATTTCACATGTTTTTCCTTCATGAATTCCCTGTTCTACCCAAGTGACTAAAGCGCCACTGCTGAAAGCTGGTCTCCGGCTCCTGTCTGTAAGCGTGCCTGGCAGCCATTGCCTGAGCCTGAGATGCCCGATCTCTCCCTGTCAATCCTTTCAGGCTCCTGGAGCTGCCGCAAGGAGGTTACTCCTCCCTTCTCACCAGTCCAAAGGTGACTCTGGGCCCACACTCACTGAACTGTATCAGGGCACTGTGCCAGGCCCCAGAGATGATACAAAAAAAAAAAGAGCCCAAGCAACTGTGCCTGCCCTCCATGAGCTTCAAGTCTTACTTATTGCCAGCTGCCTGACCTTCTCCCCACAAGCTCCAGCTTTGTGTCCTAGCCTGGCTCTTCCCTCTCTCCTCACTCAATTATCTTTCTTTGCCTCGGGCACCTGCTTGGCACAGAGAAGCCTTAAGCCTGGATTGAACTGGAAATGTGCTTCTGTGTCGGTCCATGACATGCCTACTTGCAGTCTTATTAAAGGCAGCCCTTTGAAAGGCGAGCAGCCTCTCCAGAAAGATGGCTCTAGAAGGCAGCTGGGTGTAGTGGCCTGAGGACTTCACATGGCAGCCTGAAATCTGCCTCACTTACCAGCTGTGTGACTCTGGCAAATGGCTTAGATCACTGAGCCTCAGTTTCCTGATATATAAAATGGGAAACACTGACCCAAGCAGGTTGTTATGAGGCTGGAATGAAATAATGTGTGTAAAGGGCTGGGGCAAACCTTAGAGCCCTATAGACATGGGAGATGCAGCCATCACTTTCCCCTGAGCTGCCTTTATCTGCCTGCCTGCATGGAGGCTCTCCCCTGGTTTAGACGGGTTAAGCTCAGGGACTGCAGCTCTGTCTGCTCCCCTGACTCTGGGCTCTCTGCCCTCTCCATATTTTATGGACTCACTTAGCCCATGGCCAGGTGAGGGCAGATGTTAGACACCTGCTGGAGGGAGAAACATCACAAATAGAAGCTTCCTGAGGCCAGGGGCTCTAATGATTATTGTTCTTTGTGACCTAAACACTGGCCATGGTGCCTGGCACAGAGCAGGATCTCAACAAACTCTCGATGGCTTGGTTTTGTGTGGTATGAAGCAAGGTGGGCCCTGGTCAGATTGGGAATGGCATAGCTGGATGAGACCACAACACGCCCAAGGTCACACAGCTAGTTCGTGGCAATTAAGTCTTGTAATCCTGACCTGCTGTTAGGGCTGTGCCAGCTCTTTGGGGGTGTCAGGAATCACACACATGACCTGCAATTCAAGCCAACAACAGGAAAAGCAGGCAAGTGCTACTAACTGGGGCTCAGAAAGGTATAAGAATCAAGATTCAACTCAGGTGTCCCTCGAACCCAGGGACAGTGTCTTCCTGCCCGTCCTCCTCCTTTTCTCCCTTTCTCTGTCCTCCTTCCCTCCCTCCCATCTCACTTCCTTCCCCTCTCTTCTCCCTCTTTCTTTCATATTTTAAGTTTCACTGATGCCCTTGGCTTTTACATTCTAGTCTTTTCTAGAAATCCTCCACTTCAGATCAAACTTTCCCTGATAGAAAAAAAGTCAAACTGTTCAGCAGAAACACCCAGTAAGTGTCACAGATGATCATTTATGACCAGGAGTATGCTGGTACATATTTAATAAATGGCTTTCCAGAAGAAAAAAAAGTAAGTACACACGACACATTTTCAAGGTTATGCTGCACTGGTAAGATTTTCTTCATCACTTTTGTAAGCCTAGACAATTAGCAAAACACAAAAGCAAGCCCTAATCTGTAGTAAGTGTTGATTTCCAAGGTGTAAATGTTCATACCGAAAATTTAACAACTGGCTCTTTAATACCGGAACATACTCCTGCTTAGCACATCCATCTCTGTCCTTGCAGCCCTGCCCCCAATACTGGGGTCCATCCCCTAGTCTGGGGTGGGTTCTCGTTCACTGCAGCTTGGTCACTGGGTTACCTATTACAGATTTCTCCTTTCATTTCGGTTCCTGCCATGATGATCTCTCTGTGGCTACACTAACCTTAAGGATTTTTTCAAGGTCATGTTTAGGATCAATGGCAGAAGCTCAAGCCAGTCCCCATCCCCCACCCTCCTCCCCACTGCTTCCTCAGCAGGTGAATAACAAAGCCTGTAACACTCCAGGAAGTAGGCACTTGGACAAAGGGTGGTCCAACACGTGGGGACAATGTCTTCCATTCAGTCAGTACAGAAACAAAAGTCAGTCTCTGGAGCAGGGGAGCTGGTGTTTATCTGTAGAGCCAAGCTCCTCCCTTTCTGCCATCACCTCTAGGAGGATCTGAAGGAATCCAAAGCCAGCAGGTGAAAAACTCAGGTCATTCAATGCCTCTGGGGCCAGGGGTGGGCACACCTTCCCTAGGCTGGCAGGCCTCGGGCTGGCCCGCCCAGCTGACCAACAGCTCTAATGGTACCTGCCCCAACCCAGACTGGCCCCTTCTAGTGGAAATGTTCATCCTCTCCCGTGACCATCTGGTTGGTTTCCTCAGTATGCCTCCATGTTCCCCCTATGCAATAGCCATGACAACATCCTGTCATGGCTGTCCCCCACTGCACTCCCCAGAGGCCTTGCCATGCGTATCTCAGAGCATCAGAGTTACACCTTTTGGTGTCCAGTAGAAAGGAAGGCCCAGAAGGCAGGACTCTTGTCTTTGTGCCTAAAGTACCTGGTACACAGTAGGGCCTTCATAAATAGTTGTTAAATTGAAATGAGGCACAGAGGGAGGGGAGGAATGGAATGACATCACATTTAGGCCAGATGTTATCACTAAGGAAAAATAACAGATTGCCCAGAGGTCTTACAATCCCTTCCTTCTAGAAGGGTCGGTGTGGCTAGACAACATTTCTTATGAAAAAGATCTAGGGGTTTTAGCTGATCGCAAGCTCAACATGACTCAAGAAAGCTAGCTTAGCATCCAAGATTAGGATCGTGATAGTCTTGTCCCTCTAGAGTGCTGCATTCCGTTTCTGGTGCCACTCTCCAGGAGGAATGCTGATACTCTGGAGGGTTTCCACAGAAAGTCTCATGCATGTGCGGGCTGCCCTCTGATGGCCTCAGAGCATCAGTGGAGCTCTGAGATCCTGGGGTTCTGGGGCCTCCTAAGCTCGGTGGCTCTCACCTGTCCTTAGACTTGGCCTCTTCCTCACTGGAGCTGGAAGGTTGGATTCTTCTAAGCTCTCAAACCTACAATCTTCTTACTGAGTCATGAGAAAAATGACCCATTTAGTCTCCTAATTAGTGTTCACTCCAATTACATCTTTTGCCTTTTAATTATAGTGGAGAAACCACAGTGTGATCTGCCCTAAATCCTCTCTCAGCTCAGGGTGTCTTGGGGTGGGGTGGGGGGATCTAATTTGTTAAATTCCACTC